TTGTTGGTGGTGGTTGCACGGTTGTGTTTTCCATACTGTTTCCATATGGTTTCTTGATGTCGTTTTCTGTTCTTGTGCGTTTGTGGGTTAAGGCTGCGTTTGTGCGGAGACCACAACGCACACCCACAACAAATCACATCTCACAACACATACCCTCATCTCACACCTCACGCTACACCTCTCCACAACGTAACACAACGTGTGGACACACAACGTGCGGAGGGGAAACCAACGCCAATTCTTTTGTAATTTTAGTGGGAGATCCAAACCTCTAGCCCCTTGCGGGGGGCCCGCCTGCCCCTCTGTTCCTTCCTTTCTCTCGTCACCACGGCTGCGCGCGGCTGGAATGGAAAATGGAACCCCTAATGGGGATTTCCGCCGTGGCTCGACAAGGCTCGCTCCTCTTCACGTCCTCATACTTGCAGACAGTGGGAATGTCTCGAGCGAGCGGTTCGCCCTCGCACACAAACGCTCATTGACAGATATCCATAGGAAGACGCATCATGAGAATGAGATGCACATTTCGTCGCGATCATGTCGTTTCCAAGGAATTCAGCCCAACCCCCAGTGATTACATTTCGTTGCGATCATTGCGGTTCCAATGAATTCAGCCCAACCCCTAGTGTTGATGGCAAGTATATGCCAACTGCAATTCTCCTTGTGCTGTGCAGTCTTGGCGCCAGCATAGACATTGTTGGGATATGTATTGGCATTTCTTTTGATGTCATAGAGAGTGATATCGACAGCGGTTCGCCCTCGCACGCACACGCCCATTGGCAGATATCAAGAGAAAAGGCGTACCAAGATAATGGGATGCACACATGGGGGGCCCCGCGTCGAGTAATTTCATTACGTCCCTGGCCCCCCCGCTGGGCCGCGCACGTGCCGCCGGTCATGATTTGCACCCCCCCTCTTGGACACCCCCCTCTTGGCCGCTCCCGATGGACCCGGGGCCACCGCCCCCCCTGCGCAGGCCGGCACCGGCCCGCCTCCTCTGCGTTGGACACCTCCGCGCTCCGCTCCGCCCTGCTCCGCTCCGCCCTCCCCCCGGGGAGGGCTACGGAAACATCCTCCGTGGAAGGGGGGTTGGGGAGAGGGGGGAGGGGGAGGAGGGGAAGGAGGAGGAGGGGGAGGGGGGGGGGGAAGGAGGAGGGGGAGGAGAGGAGGGGGAGGAGGAGGAGGAGGAGGGGGAGGAGGAGGAGGAGGAGAGGGGAGGAGGAGGAGGAGGAGGGAGGAGGAGGAGGAGGAGGAGGAGGAGGAGAGAGAGGAGGAGGAGGGGAGGAGGAGGAGGAGGAGGAGGAGGAGGAGGCGGAGGAGGAGGAGGAGGAGGAGGAGGAGGAGGAGGAGGGAGGAGGAGGAGGAAGAGGAGGGGGAGGAGGCGGGAGGAGAGGAGGAGGAGGAGGAGGAGGAGGAGGGGAGGAGGAGGAGAGGAGGAGGAGGAGGGGGAGGAAGGGGGGAGGAGGAGGAGGAGGAGGAGGAGGAGGAGGAGGAGGAGGAGGAGGAGCAGGAGGAGGATGGGGAGGAGAGGAGGGGAGGAGGAGGAGGAGGAGGAGGAGGAGGAGGAGGAGGAGGAGGAGGAGGAGGAGGAGGAGAGGAGGAGGAGGAGGAGGAGGAGGAGGAGGAGGAGGAGGAGAGGAGGAGAGGAGGAGGAGGAGGAGGGGGCAAGGGCTACGAAAGGAGCGTGCAGCAAGGAGGGCTACGAGAACATCCTCAAGCATCCTCCCAGAAACGAAGCGAAAGCATCCTCCAGGGCCTCCCGCAGCGAGCCCAGCGCCTCGAGCGGCCCAGGCCCAGCTGCGGCCCGGGGCCCGGGTCCTCCGCTCGCCCTCCTCTCGTCGGGCGCCGCAGCGCCGCAGCGTGGTAGGAAACAATTCCCTCGAGGGCGCGAAGTTGTTCGCGCTTCGCGCTTTGCGGTTCGGCTCCGATTTCTCATCCTCTTCTTCTCCCCTGGGAGGCGGCTCGAAAGCGCGAAGTTATTCGCACTTCGCGCTTTGCGCAGCGCGAAGCGCGAAATTGGGAGCCCTTGATATGGACGCTCCCCCTGTCTCGCAGGATCGTGGCGCGCGCGCGTGTAGCACGCTGCCGAGTGCCACGAACTCGTTTCTCTCTTGCTTGGGGCATGACGGGCGTCATGGCCCCCGGCCCCTCCCCCCCTACGTATGACGTAACGCTCCCCCCCCCCTCCAGTGCGTTCCGGGCACTGCCGCCGTGCGCATCGTGATCCGCATAGGTGCCCGCATAGGAATCGTCGCTCGTCGCTCGTCGCTCATCGTCGTCGTGCGCGCGGACGCAGCTGGAGCCTTTTTTTATTCCGGGCCGATGGCGGCAATCATCTGGGGGGATGTGGAGAGGGCCGATGACGTCACGTTTCGCGACGGCGGCGTCTGGGAATGCCTAGGAATCGCCGAGGACGGGTAGCAGCAGCATGTCAGTGGTGATCTGCACCACAACGCTTGTGCACACCATAGTGCCTTCGTGCACCACAGCGCCTGTGTACACCACACCGCCTATGTACATCACAGCAGCGGCGTGCATCACAGCGCCAGTGTGTGCCACAGTGCCTGCTGGCACCACAGCGCTTGTGTACACCATAGCGCCTGCGTACACCACATCAGCCGTGTGCAACACAGCACCAGTGTACACCATAATGCTTACGTGCACTCAGCGCGGCACCTGTGAATAGACCATTCTGCGGTGCACGCTGAGACGCGCACGTGCGCTGTAGTGCCGACCCGCACGTCAGGGGGAAGGATGAGGGAGGGGTAGGAGGAGAACGAGGAGCAGGAGGAAGAGGAGGAGGAGGAGGAGGAGGAGGAGGCGGAGGCGGAGGTGGAGGAGGGAGGAGGGAAAAACGTCGCATTCTATTATCATTATCAGCATGTCCTGGCGTGGCGTTTCGCTGTCCGCAGCAGATCCTCACCGACATGCTCCTTCTACCTGTCCTGTGCACGCAGGCGCTCTGGTGTACACCAGCGCTGCGTTGCACGCGGATGCTGCGGTGTAGACAGGCGTTGTGGTGTGCACAGGCGCTGCGGTGCACGTAAGCATTGTGGTGTAGATAGGCGCTGTGTTGCACATGGCTGCTGCGGTGTACACGTTCGCTGTGGTGTACACCGGCGCTGTGGTGCACGCAAGCACTGTGGTGTGGCGCTGCGTTGCACACGGCTGTTGCGGTGTACGCAGGCGCTGTGGTGTACACAAGCGCTGTAGTGCACGCGAGCATTGTGGTGTACATAGGCGCTGTGTGGCAGATCGCCACCTACATGCTGCTCGCGTCGTCGTCGTCGTCGTCGTCGTCGTCGTCGTCGTCGTCGTCGTCGTCGTCGTCGTCGCTCGTCGCTCGTCGCTCGTCTCTCGTCGCTCTTCGCTCATCGTCGTCGTGCGCGCGGGCGCGGCTGTGGTGTCGGAGCCGCACGGCGGGGGGGGGCGTTACGTCATACCCCCCTCCGCCCCCCCCATCATCGCCGATGATAAAGAAACGCGCTCCACCGCTCCCATCCTGCAGCGCTTAGGAGGCCCTCTGGGGCCGTCTTGGGGTTCTCCAGGGGCCGAGGCCCTTCTGGCCAGTCTTGGGATCCCCTTGGGCAGTCTTGGGCCCCTGTCCGTCGCCTCGGCCGTCTTGGGGAACCCTTGCAGTTGCCTCGGGTAGTCCTGGAACCCTCTTGAGTCTGGAGGCCATCTCAGGCCGTTCTTGTTGCAGTCTCGGGCTTCTTTTGGAGCTCTGGCTCTTCCGAGGACCTCTTGGAGTGAGCGGAGCAGCCTGGGAACCATGCGCCAAAGAACAATGTTAGGTTTCCGATGGTTTTGACAGTCTACGGGTCCTGTTAGGAGCGTCTGTGGCCGCCTTGGAGGCATGCATGTGGATTTGAACCCTCCCGGACTCTTGGGGCCGTCTGAGAGCCCTCTGGGTACATCTTGGGGCGGTTGTGGGCCATCTTGGGAGGGCTGTTTGGCCGTCTTGGGGCGTCCCTCGATCGTCTAGAGGCCTCTTGGGCCCGCGCTGGGCCATTTCGGAGCTCTCTTCGAAGGTCTTGGGGAGGCCGTCTCTGGGGGTCCTATTGTGGCCCCCTCGGGGCCGTCTTAGGTTGTCTTGGCGCCCTCGTGGGCCCCGTTTGCCAGACCCTATGGGGTTCTCTTTTGCCCGTCGGATGCCCTGCAGGAGTCAACTTGAGCCGATCGGCCTGTGAGTCGAGAGCATCAAGAGAGCAAACGAGCTTGACCATGAGCGGGTTCTCTTGGGGCCCTCTTCGGGCCTGAGGGGCCGCCTTGGGGGCATCCTCGGGCCATCTGTGGCTCTCTCGGGGCCGCCTGGGAGCACTCGGGTTACATCTGGATGCGCTCTAAGGCCCTCGTGAGCCCCTGTCTGGGGATGTCTGCATCGCCCTGGCGGCTCCCCGCCACACTCGGGAGGCTGCTTTGGCCCTTCTCGTGGCTGCCGGGGGAAGTTCTCCGGTCCCTCTCGGGCTGTCCTGGTGCACCCTTGAGTGCGGCTGAGGCTTTCCCATGTATTAGATGCCCACCCAAGGGGAAATATCTAATTAGCATGTGGTCGTCGGGGGGCACGCAGGCAGAACAAATCAACGAATCGACACCAAATGTATAATAACTTGATACGTTCCGTCCTGGGGCCCTGGGGAGGCCTCCTGGGGCCTCCTGGGGGCCTGGACATGTGAAGACACGTGGTTCCAGCTCGGGACCAAGCGGGCACTAGACAGCACATGCATTTATTAGATTCTGGCTTCTGGGACCTCTCCAGGGCCCTCTTGGGGTGTCTCTGCAGTCCTCTCGTGTGCCATGCGGTTCCCTTTTGGTGGGACCTGGTGCGCCACATTTCTTGGGACATCGTGAGGCCGTCTTGAGACATTTGTGGCTCAGATCCCCCCTGGATGAGCCCTGTGCCCACCTCACCATCACCCCCCCATCTAAAATCTTTGATTTCGTGCCTGGTGCGGGAGGACTCTGGGGTGGGAGAATTTTTCGCACGCCTGGTGGCCTCAGAGGTCGGCGGACCTGCTCATGAATTTCTTGTGCACTCAGAAATTCTTGGAGGGCACGTCTGTCAAGGTGATCGTGATGTCAGCCACCCTGGGCTTGGAGAGTTTACAAGACTACTTCCACAGTCGTTTTCGGGAATGCCCGCACTGGGTCGGAGATTTATGTGTAGACCGCGTCGCCCAACTGGAGTGTTTAGAGGCCCAGCAGTTGCGAACTTTAGCGGGCTTCGTGGGCTTGGAGCTCCGCGATGACTCCGAGGAGGACAAGGACGAGCTCGTCCGCCTGTTGCTGGAAGCACAGGTTGTGCGTCCGCACCCCTTGCGGTTGGCGTATCTGGACGACTTGCTGTACCACATTATCTTGCGCGAAAACCTCGCCAGCAGTTTGGAGCACAGGAACATCTGCGTTCGTCCAGTCGGCATGGTGAGCGCCCAGCTCAGGCACGCAGTCGACGAGGCTTGGACTGTGCTCAGGTCGCGGTCTAGCGCATCCCCTCTAGATATCCTGGTGCATCTTCTTGATCCAAAGCAAGATGATAAGGTCCTTTCCTTCTCATGCTCTTTCGTTATCGTGCATCTCCTCCTGCTCCTCCCCCAGGTCATATCGCACTATCGCGAGTCGTTCTCCAAACTGCTATGTGCCCAGATGGCGCTCGAGAGGGTCAGGAACCAGTCGATCCTTCTTCTAAGCCCCGAGGAGCTGATGTCGAGGAGGGCGAGGATCAGGAAGATGACGGGAATATGGAGGAGGAGTAGGAGGAGGGTGCCATGAAAGACAGCATGTGTGCTGACCCCCGAGGAGCTGAGCAGTGTCAAGGAGGCCGTGGAATCGCAGGGACCGTGCCGGCTGCACAGCAAGGTGGTGCTGGCCGGGGGAGCGCTTCCTCCCGGCGTGGTCATCCAGAGCTGGGTGCGGTGGGACGGCCAAGAGTTGCACCGCGAGCCTCAGGCGGTGACGTCGACTGGTGGCTTGCCAGGCGCCTTTGACGGCCCTCTCGTCCTCGAGTACAGCAGCAGTGGAAGCACAGCCCCTGACTCCGACGACGATCTCCGGGACCGCGCTTACGTGGCGCTGGTCTTCTTGCCGGGGCTCTCGATGGTCTCTGACTTTCAGTACGCGCTGCAAAGTCATCCTGGCCCTCCAGCAGATGAAGTATTCGCCCTCCACGGGAAGGTCCGGCAGGAGGATCAGATGGCGGCAGTGAGACCGATTGAGAGCGGATGCCGAGTCATACTCAGTACCAACGTCGCCGAGTCGTCCATCACAGTGCCCAATGCGGACGCCGTCGTCGACCTGTGCCTCGCGAGGACCATGCGCTGGAACGAGGACCGGTTGGGGCAGTTGCTGGACCTCGACGCCGCCACGAAGGATAGCCTTGGGCAGCGCGCGGGTCGCGTCGGCCGCACGAAGGCGGGTCTGGTCCTGCGCATGATCTCTCGGGAGGAGTTCGACGGCCTGTCAAGCGGCCGGCTGCCAGAGATGCTCCGGCGTCCGGTGGACAAAGTGATGCTCAAGATCGTCAACATGTCCCCCGCCGGCTACGAGGGAGGCGTTGACGTAGAGTCGGAGATCCAGGCTTGCTTATCGCCGCCCGAGGGGGACAAGATCAAGGAAGCCCTCGAGCAGCTGCTTGCCGCGCACGCGATCGAGCCCGTTGGCGACGACGGGCGCCGATTCCGGGCGCTGCGCCTGGGGTTGCTGCTGGAGGACCTCCCGATGGACCTGCGTCTCGGCCTGCTGGTCGCCTGGGGCGTCGAGGCCGGGCTGGAACACGCGGCGGTGGACGCGGCGGTGATGCTGCAGGCCGGGAGGATGATGTATGATGTACCGATGCCGCTGCCCTTCCCTCGTCGCCACGGCTGGATTTGCCTCGAGGAGGAGGAGGAGGAGGAGGAGGAGGAGGAGGAGGAGGAGGAGGAGGAGGAGGAGGAGGAGGAGGAGGACGAGGACGAGGACGAGGGCGAGGAGGACGGGGGTCTGGAGCCGCCAGGGCTTCGCAGGCGCCAGGGCCGAACGTGGACGAAGAAGCTCAGGGGGAGGACCCCTTTCGACCTCTCTTGCAGGCCAGGAGGATAAGATACCGATGCCGCTGCCCTTCCATAGTCGCCATGGCCAGATTCGCCTCCAGGAGGAAGGGGCGGACGACGATGATGATGGTGATGATGGTGATGATGATGATGATGATGATGATGATGATGATGATGATGATGGGTGATGATGATGATGTTGATGATGATGATGATGTTGATGATGGGTGGTGGTGATGATAATGATGATGCTGATGCTGATGTTGATGCTGGTTATGATGTTGATGATGATCATGATGAGGATGCTGCTGCTGATGGTGATGGTGGTTGTCGTAGTGATGATGATTACGATGCTGATGATGCTGCTGCTGATGATGGTGAGGATGATGATGACGATGACGATGTTGATGATGATGCTGCTGATGATGATTATGGTTATGTTGGAGTTAATGATGATGTTGATGATGATCATGATGATGCTGATGCTGATGATGATGCTGCTGCTGATGACGCTGCTTCTGATGATGATGATGCTGCTGCTGATGCTAATGATGATGATGATGATGATGATGATGATGATGATGATGATGATGATGATGATGATGATGATGATGATGATGATGATGGGTGGTGGTGGTGGTGGTGGTGACGATGATGCTGGTGGTGACGATGGTGATGATGCTGATGATGATGCTGCTGATGACGATGATGATGGGTGGTGATGGTGGCGATGATGATGGTGGTGACGATGATGATGCTGCTGGCGATGATGAGGATGCTGAGGACGATGATGATGATGTTGATGCTGCTGATGATGATGCTGGTATCAATGATGCTGATGCTGCTGCTGATGCTGGTGATGATGATGATGATGATGTTGTTGATGATGATGCTTATGATTCTGATGATGATGGTGATTCTGATGATGCTGATGATGCTGCTGCTGCTGCTGCTGATGATGATGATGATGATGATGACGAGGAGGAGGAGGAGGAGGAGGAGGAGGAGGAGGAGGAGGAGGGAGGAACAGGTGGAGGACGAGGGCCGACTATGAGGACGAGGAGGAGGGGGAGGAGGAGGAGGAGGAGGAGGAGGAGGAGGAGGAGGAGGAGGAGGAGGGGAGGAGGATGAGGAGGAGGAGGAGGAGGTGGAGGAGGAGGAGGAAGGGAGGAGGAGGAAGAGGAGGAGGAGGACGGGCTTCTGGAGCCGCTGGGGCTTCCGGAGGCGCCAGGGCCGGATGTGGGTCAAAAGCCTAGGGGGAGGACCCCTTCCGCCTTCTCTCGCAGGCCAGGAGGATGAGGGATGAGGTGCCAATGCCGCTGCCCTTCCCTCGTCGCCACGGCCGGATTCGCCTCGAAATCCTGGCCAGAACGCACCCCAAGAGAGGTCCAGGGAGTATCAGGATCGGTACCCTTTGTTCCCCCCCACCAGCAGGCTCACAATGTGGTGGGGGAGCCTCGCTCTACCCTGCTGGACTGCGGCCGCGCATTCATCCAACACTGCGCCACCCTGCGCCGCTTCGCCGACGGCTTCCCGAGCGATGCGGTGATGCTCGTCAACGTGCTGCGCGCGTTTCGGGCGGAGTCGAGGAGCGTGGGCTGGGTCGCCGGCGATGCATGCCTGCGCGCAGCCGACAGGATGAGGCATTGGTGCAGAGATAACGGTGTCAATTTTGCCAGTATTCAAACGGTCGACGACACCGTCAGGGCCATCCACGAGCGCGTGAGCGTGGTGGTGCCATCCCGCCAGGATTCAGACGCTGCGCGCATCTGGGAGCAGCTTCCTTGCCAGGAGCTGCCGGCCGAGGAGTCCTCGATCTTGATGGTCTTGTTCTGCGGTGCCTTCCATCGGCATGCCCTGCAGGTCAGGAACCCTACGAGGGCCACCTTTCTGCATGGAACGTACGACCAGGGGTGGGGGGACAGCGAAGTCGTGATCCACTGGGACGGGGTCGACCTCAGGAGGCACGAGCTGATCCAAGACCGCGTCGCTGGTTTTTTCAGTCGCGGCTCCTGCGGCATCTTCGGCCAGTGCGTGAACAGCGGCCGCGAGGGCACAGCAGGTGGTTGGGCGCGCATCGCTCTGGAGCCGAGGAGCGGCAACATGACGTTCGGCTTCCCCGTCGAGGTCAGCAACGTGCTGAAACTCCAGCGCGACTTCGCCAAGCTTTGCGATTTGGGTGAGAACGTCCAGGTGCAGATCGAGCACGCAGCATCGACCAAATTGGTGCCCATATTCTGGCGCTGGGAGGACCTCACAGAGAAGCGGCAGGATGTAGTTGTGCAGGTTTCGTCTGTTGCGGGGCCCTACCTGGAGCCACGCCCTCTCTCTCAGCAGAGGTGCCACGCGGCCGTCTTCTGTGCAAAGTTCGACAGCTTCCACACGAAGACGCAGAAGCGGTGGCAGAAGGGGGAGACGCTCACACTGCTGCCGCACTGCGGCGAGGCCGGGGAGCCCCGCGAGGGCCCCAGCCTCTCGGAGCTGGTCCTCCTGATCTTCGGCGTGCGCCCGCGTGCCCTCGCCGCCTCCGAGGCGCCGCAGGGCTCCGGCGACGGCGCCGGCATGGCCCTCCTCGGCACCCCCGGGCTGCGCCCGCGGCTGGCGGCGGGGCGGGGCGCGCTGGCCGACGGCGTCTACCGCAGCCTGTGCGGCCCGCGCTGCGTGCTCCAGGAGTTCGGGGGCTCCACGCACGCGGAGTGGCGGACGCAGACCGGGTCGGTGCGCCGGCTGCTGTGCTCCCTGCTCGACCGCTTCGGTGGCCCCGAGGCGCTGCGGGCCCTCGCCTGGCCGCGGCGCGCGCGGGAGGCGCCCGAGGGCCTCGCCGCCGCGGCCAGGGCCGCGCCCGGCTCCGACGTCAGCGACGGCGACCTCGCGGAGTCGGAGTCCGAGGGCGGGCAGGACCTGCCCGAGGCCGAGGAAGAGCAAGCGGCACGAGCACAGACTTTTGGGAGGTCCGCGCGGATCGCTTGGGTCGGCGCTGGGAATCTCCTGGCGCCGCCCCTGGCGCCGCCCCTGGCGCGCTCTGCGCGCCTGACTCAGGCGTGCGGAGCGCGCCAATGGTGGCGATGCAACACAACCAGCGATGCCATAACAGAACGGACGCGTTTGAACGTTGACGCGCAGCTGACGCGCCGTCATCCCCCGGGTCCGTGCGTCGACGCATACGGTGCCAGAGTGATGATACACGGCTTCGGACAACACAGACACCAACATTCATCTGAATAGTGCTGCTATTATGGGGGTGTCTGGCAGTAGGATAGTAGTCGCCGAGCGGGGGGTCCAGCGCCAATCCAAGACAATCCGCGCGGGCCGCCGGAAGTCCACGCTTCGGCATCTGCTCCTCCGGCAGGGCGCTCGAAGCCCTGTGCCTGCCTCGCGGGGGGTCTGCGTGGTGGTCGACCTCGACTGCTGGCTCGCCGAGCACGGCTGCCACTCCGGCCCCGAGGAGGCCGCGGCCCTCTTCGAGGCCATGCTGGGGTATATCCAGGAGCAGGTGGGACAAGAGGTGGTGCACGTGACCGCTCGAGGCAGCGAGTTGGCGGGAGCGTGCGGTCAAGCAGGGGGGCTGGGCCCGGCGGCTGTTGCAGATGCCGTCCGGCGGCTGGTGGGGCCCGGGAAGGCAGACGTCTCCGTGGACTCGCAGCACGCGGGCACCAGAGGCCCTGCAGACGCAGCAAAGGAGTTGGGCTGCGAGCTGGCCTTCTGCGCCTTGTCGTATGTTCGCGGCGCTGGGCCGCAGGCTTCGCTCTCACCGCATCCAGCGCACCTGGTGCTCGTTCTTGGTCCAGGCTTATCTTCGGTCCTCCGGCACCTGACAGCGCAGCGTACCCGGCCGCGCTTCTGGGCTACCGCGTCCCCTGTGCACGAGGAACGGCTGCGCAGATTGCACCCCGACGTCGGCCTCATCCGCCCCTTCGCGCCACCAGCAGCCGCGAGCAGTAATCGCGACACCCAGCAGACGCAGATGGCAGAGCCCGAACAAGAGTCGGAGCCAGTGCTGGGTAGGGGGGAGAAGTTCGGCAGGGTGAAGTCGTTCAACGCATCAAGGGATCCCGCCTACGGGTTTGTGGCCGGCGGGCAGCATGGTCAGGACATCTACCTTCCGGGGAAGAACTGCGAAGCTGGCTACGTGCCCAGTCCGGGCGACCTGGTCATCTTCAAAGAAGGGAAGCAGAAAAACGGCAAGCCAGTTGCCAACGACGTGAGAAAAGCTCAATAAGAAATAGTTGAGGCGCTGGCAGAACTGTCGGCATATGTACATAACATGGCATCCGTGGCTGCGACTTCATGTGACATTCCCCGTTCGGCGGGTGTAGAGTCTGGCGGCAAGACGTACAGGAAATTTATCCACCTGGAGGATGCTGCCACAGAACTAGGTGATATCATGAGGGGCAGCAGCCATGTTTTTTTTTTTAGCGCCCGCTAGCGGCTTCCAGCGAGGGTTCAGCGTGCCACGTCAGCGCATTACATAGCGACGCATATACGGTTATGCAGTTGGCACCAACGCCTACGCCACCTACATTAAATCGCTGCCTATCCTATTGTCTTCTCCTGCTCCTCCTTCTGGGCCGTCTGGGGAGTCCTTCTAGACACGTGAAAAAATATGTTCCTTCAGCGGCCCCCCCTTGGCATTGTGCCATGGAAGCCTCCTGTGGCAGCCTTTTGGACTCTTTCGGGGGGGGCTTCTGGGGGCCTCTCCGGACACTGTTGGGCTATCTTGGCGGCCTTGGTGGCCTTCATGGCTTCTGCTCCTCCTTCCCCTCCTCGCTTCTCCTTCTCCTCTTCCTCCTCCTCCTCATCCTCCCTCCCTCCTTCCCTCCCTTCGTTCCTTCATCTTCCCTTCCTCTCTTCCGACCTTCCTCCTCGCTCCTCCTCCTTCTTCTCCTGCTTCTCTTTCTCCTCCTACTCCTCCTCCTTCTCCTCCTCGTAGTTCTCTTCATCCTCCCCCACCCCTCTTCCGTATTGAATGACTCCTCTTTGTCGCACCCTCAGACGTGTCGGTGGGGTCGGCGGGGCAGCTCGCCGGATATTTCCTCGCAGTTGATGATCCTGAAGCCTGAAACTGGCAACAGCTTCGCGAACGGAGGTCTGGTGACTGTCGCCGCAGCGCCGCTCGCATTCGTGGTAACGGCTTGCAGCAGTTTCACGGATGGAGGGTGGGCGATTTTCGAATTGTGGCTCGTGCCCCAGCTCCGCCGCTGATCTGTCGGCGGCGCGTCGCCGATTGCATGACCTCACCCTCTCGGAGGAGCCTCGCGCAACACCCAGGGGGTAATGCCGTGGGGATCCCAGCCCCCCGGCGCCTTGTCTATCTTAACAGCGTTTCGCCAGGCGGTTCTGGTGGCAAGAGAGGACCTCAGAAGAGTCGCGCAGGGGGGGCGGGGGGCCCGCGGACGCCTGGTCCGGCGGCCGTTTCGCCAGAGACTTCCTCACAATGTATTGTAGAGGCCTCTGGTCAGCGCCGCCGATCCAGGAACGTTCAGGGACGCTCCGTGCGAAGTCGTCGTCCTGTTTGATAGTTTGTGAGCCTTCTCTCGAGGAGGCAGGAGGGAGGATGCGGAGGGAGGAGGAGGAGGAGGAGGAGGAGGAGTCCGAGGAGGAGGAAGACGAGGAGGAGGAGGAAGAAGAGGAGGAGGAGGACCAGTGTAAACCCAAGACCCATCAACCATATTGGAATACACCCTCCCTCCAAGCTCTCTCTTCATAGGCCCCTGCAAGGGTTCATTTCCACTGAGGGAGCTGCCTCGTTTGGAGACAACCGTTTGAAGACCCTGAAGCGGGCCGAAACACCATTCTCGGGATTCCAACGTCATGAATCACTGTGATTGTTGCGTCTTGACGATCCAGAATCATGCCAGAGAACACCATTCCTAGAATTTCAACACCGCGAATCAACGAACTTGTTACGCCCTCACGATCCGGAGTCTTTCCAGAACGCAATTTCTAGCATGTTGACCATAGGAAACCGTTTTGTTGGTATATGTGTTTAAGACGAGTGTGCGCGGCGATGAGGCGAGAGCTACATGTTCAAAAGGAAGGGACTTCAAACAGTGAAAGTCAGGTAATTTTTACAACGAGTGTGCGCGGCACGAAGGCGATAGCCACATTTCGAAAACGACCCGCCCTCAATGCGTGAAGGTCGTGCAAACGTTTCAGTCGAGTGTGCGCGGCGCTAAGGCGAGAGCCATATTTTGAAAACCCGCTTTCAATCCGTGAAACTCTTGCACGTTGTGACAGCGAATGCGCGGGGCGCTAAGGCGAGGGTCGCATTTTGAAGACCACCCTCCCTGAACCTGTTGCCCTTTTTTTTTAAAAAAAGTCTCAGGGTCAGAGATGGCAGGGAAGTCTCAGGCGAAGCGTCCGCCCCGCCCCTTCCAACGACTCGGGGTGTGGACAGGGGGAGTTAAGGGGATTGGATCTTATGTGCTCCCCCCGTGGACGCCGAACGTGCCAGCTGCAGGAAAAGGATTGGAGGAGGATGACGTGGAGGAGGAGGGAGGAGTAGGAAGAGGAGGAGGAGGAGCAGGAGGAGGGTTAGGAGGAGGAGGAGGAGGAATCGTATAACAGTGATAAGGAGGAGTATAATAACAATCATAATATGACGAATAAGACGAATGATAATAACAATCGAGTAGTACTAATCATACGATAACTAATCATAACACGACGGCGAACATAGTAAGAAACAACATAATATTATTAATAGTACATAAGCAGACGAATCGATTCTTATTAATACGAATGGCCAATGAAATTATTAACAATACTTTTGCGAACAAGATTAATATAAACGATGATAAGAACAATAATGCTTCTACTCGTAATACTAAGAAGAAGGATGAGGAGGAGGAAGCCATCTGCAGTCGCCTGAGGTAGTCTGATGTGTTGAATGGAAAGGTTGCGTCGTGTTCGTCCGTCGAGCTTCCTGGCGGGCGTGTTGCCTGACGGGTTGGCTCGTAAGTGGGTCGTTGGGCTTGTGAGTCTCGACGCCAGCCCTGGCCCTTTCCCCAGCCCTAGCCTGGGTCTCAGCTTTGGCCTCGGGCCCCAGCTCTGGCCCCGGCCTCGGCCGTGGCCCTGGCCCTGGCCCCCTGCCCCAGTCCCCGGCCCTGGCCCCAGCCTCGGCCCCGGTCCCTGCCTCGGCCCTGTCCCTGGCCCCCGGCCAGGGCCGCAGCCCCGGCCACGGACCTGGAACCGGCCTCGGCCTCGGCCTCGGCCTCGGCCCCGGCCCCGACCCCAGCCCTGGCCCCGGCCCCGGCCCTTGAAAGTCACAGTTCCCCTTTTCCCCAGCAGAGCCACCCCGGCAACCCCCCCAGCAGAGCTGAAGCTCAGGCTGTAGGTTTTTGAAACTCACACGCCGGATCGGCCGATTCAGGAATCGTGGTTTCGCCTCAAGGCTGGCTCTTTCTTGGCCCAGACGGCCGCGATCCTTTGTAAAAAGCAGGTGCACATGGACGTGCTCTCACCCTTGTCCTGGTTGCATCTTTCCCCGGAATCCCAATGAATACGTAGGAATGCACATTTCCCCAAGCCGACCTCCTACGCCTACACCCGCCTCTTCATGCTGCTATTTAGGGTACTTTGCCGGGGTACTTTTGGACAACGTGGACCTCCGCAGGTCTCGACCCATTCCCCAGGGCTGGCCTTTCGTCCCGAGCCGTTTTTTTGGGCGGTCCTGGGGCCCAGCGAGGGCCCCCAGGAGAGGCAAAATAGAGTCAAAACCAAGCGTCGAAGTTTTTTTTTGGCGGCGCGAGGGGGGCTGATAATGGCGAGGAGAGGGGGGAGGGGGTCTGAGAATGGCGAGGGGAGGGGGGAGGGGGGAGGAGGGGGAGGGGCGGCCCAGTCCTCCCCCTCCTCCCCCTCCTCCCTGATGGGGAGGAGGGGAGGGTCTGAGGATCAGAATGGCGAGGGGAGGGGGCGGCCCGGTCCCTCTGGTGGTCCTCCGCGGAGCCCGCCTTCCTGCCCCGAAGGACAACGCCGTGGCGCTGCTGTCGCTGCTGGCGCGGGGGATAGACCCCGACGAGGAGGATGCCATCATGGGCGAACCCGCCCTCTTCGAGGCTCGAGACCGCGCTCTCCCTCACATAGATGAATAGGTGTATATATATATATATATATAAAGAGATATATACACATCTATGTATCTGTATGCATCTCTATGTATATGTATTTATACATTATAGAATATGTATCGTCTTGTATGCATACATGTGTGTAAATGTATGCGTGTACATGTGTGTATACACACATATATATATATGCATTCAGGCACACAAGCAGTTACATGCATGCCATTGTGCACAGGTGCATGCGTATGCACATATGCACATCCTTTTGTTTACATGTGTCTCTGTTTGCAAGCATGTACGTCTGTACACATACACCCTGAGATACAGGCGCTGCAGTTTTTCAACACTGGGCGTTTCGCCGGGTTGCGGGCCCCTGGGCCATCATAGATCGATCGGGCTTGAACAAACGCAGCACAAAAGATAGGGTCTAGGCTCCGGTTGTGTTTTTTTTGCGATGCTGGCTAGTTTTTCCCAACGTCTGATCTCAGGGCACAGAGCTTGCACTTCTGGGTTCTGACTCGTGCTCGAACTTTGTGCGCTGCCCCCCCCAATTCGTGCTCTGCGCGGCCCGCCTGGCTCTTCACCGGAAGAGGCTCGCTCTCGACCCGCAGACCCGTCAACAAGTGTTCGCACTTGTGTGCTCCAAGGGAGCTGGGCCCCAGTGGCGGTCAGGCCCCAGTGGCGGTCTAGGGCTCTGGTCGTGTTTTTCGCGATGCTGTCGTTTTTTTCTCAACGTCTGATCTCAGGGCACAGAGCTGGCAGTAATGGGTTCTTACTCGTGCTCGAACTCGTGGCGGTCAGGCCGGCTCGTCGCCGCCCCGCCCGTCGTCGCCGTCGCCGCCGGGCCCCGTGGCGGCCTGCCTGGCCCGCCGCCGCCCGTCGCCGCCCCGTCGCCGCCGTGCGCACCCGTCCAGGGCTGGTCCGGTCGGCTCGTCGCGCCGCCCGTCGCTGCCGTGCACTGCCGCCGCTTGCGCTCGTCCACTGCCGCGCTCGCCCGCTCGCAGAGCGTGGCATAGCTTTCACAGCCTACCACGGCGATTGCACAGCTCATCAATCTAGAGCACAGCATAGCGTAGCGTAGCGTAGCACAGCATAGCATAGCACAGACAGGCATAGCATAGAATAGTATAGCATAGCATAGCATAACATAACATAACATAGCATAGCATAGAGTAGAACGGTGCAACCAGTGTGTGTTGCGACACTTCATCTTGCACGCATCGACTGCATTGCCCAGGTTGCTCCGTGTTGGTTGGCTCTGCGTGGGATGCTCTGCATAGTTTGCATTGTGCAGGGTGTATCGCACATATCACATTGCAGGGTATGCTACAACACAAGGTTTGGGGTCCAACCTGGCTATCACACCCATAGATACATACTATTCAAACGTGTATCACCATCACCATATAAATCTATATGCTCTTCCCCCCCAGCACCCCCAAACGACTGACTGGGAGGGGGTGGCATCCTCCTCATCATCATCCTCTTTATCCTGCTTCTCCTCTTTCTTCGCGCTTCTCTCCTCCTCCTCATCTTTCGTGCTCCTCATCTTCTTCATCCTCCTCATCCCCTTCGATTGATGCATCTTCCTCACCCTTCTCATCCTCACCCTCCTCATGCTCATCGTCCTCATGTTCCTCATACTTCTCATCTTCCTCCTCTCCCCATCCTTATCTTCATCCTCCTCATCTTCCTCCTCTCCTCATCTTCATCTCCTTACCCTCCTCATCTTCCTCATCCGTTTCATCCTCCAGCGCTTGGGGCGGGGAGCGAGAATATATTATTCGTCTTCCTCCTCCGCCTCCCCCCTCTCCCTCCTTCACGTCCTTCTGGTTCTCCATGTCCTGCAGTGGGTTTCAAAGTTGACCTCAGACGGTTTGCAATGACCTGCTTTCTTTTCACAGCATTCCTTCTGAGAAGGAGCGAGGAAGACGAGGAGGAGCGAGGAAGAGGAAGAAGAAGAAGAAGAGGAGGAGGAGGAGGAGGAGGAGGAGGAAGAACGCTAGGGGATGGACACATCCCCTTATTGGATGCTCTCGAGAGCACCGCCGTTGCAGAAGAGATTTCGCAAGCAAATTCACCTCTTCCTAGTTAGTTTCTTTTCGATATATGTGCGATCCCAGATTCATGCGTGTGTCACGCGGTTTCCTTGGGAACACGTGTTGCGCCGTCGTCGTCGTCGTCGCCTCATAGTCCCCTCCCTCCCTCCCTCACTGATCGCTTGTTCGTCGTCGTCCTCCTTCTTCTTGTCCTCCTCCTTATCCTCCTCCTCCTCTTTCTCCTCCTCCCCCGCTCCTCCTCCTCCTCCTCCTTCTCCTCCTCCTCCTGCTCCAGCGCGACAGGTCCGTAGCCATTTTGGCTCAAGATGCCAGGTTCCCTTGGGGCCAAAACGGGTACCGCTAGTCCGCGGCTAGACTTTGAATTTCTTCGCCTTTACTGCAGGAGTTGGGCACCTGCAAGAGTCTCATGGTATATGAGCCCGCACCGTGGCACATCGTGCGACGCAAAAAGATCAAGGGCCCGCTTGCCACAGCGGGATGGAAGTGCACGAGTTGTGGATGCGGCCGCAATGGGCAGAACAGGCAATGGTGCAAGCATTGCCATGCAGAGCGACCTTCAGGCCCAGAGCGCTCATCGACCACCTCCGCATCGGGCTGGAGCTGGCCGACGTGGCGTTCCTCCTGGACCGGGGACAAGGAATCGGCCCCACCTACACGTCCTATGCCTGTGGGTGCTCTACCAGGTCCTGGGCAGTCTGCCGTCTCCATCGTCAATGCCAGCTTCGCCAGCTTGGACAGCTCTGAGCTCGCAGCGCTGCGTGTCATTGAGGAGAAGACGGGAGACACCAACATGGTCAACAGAGTTCGTGCCCGACAGACAGCGCTGGCGGCTGCCGCCGCACCTCAGCCTGAGGAGGCCCTGGAGCAGCAGCTTGCACGCTCCAGGGGCGAGCAGGACCGCCCCTTGCGCAAGCTGGACAAGGAGCTCAGTAAGTATGGCTAGTGGCAACGACAAGTGGAGGAGCAAGAGGAATACATCGCCACCCTGCGAGAGGAGCTCAACGCAAAGGATGCGCAGCATCGCGTCCTGGCGGCGAGATTGGCTGACCGCTCCAAGCAAGCAGAGTCCACCGTCGACGGCGGGCATTCCCACGGTGCGACTGGAGGACCTTGCTGCAGGAAAGGCCGACGCGCTGCAGGTCGATCTGGGCATGTTGGACCAGGTTCCCAAGGGCGTGGACTACACGGCCGAGGAGCGTGAGGAGGTCCAGACCAGAGCCAAGGAACTTCAGTAGAGGCTGGCGGAGACGGCTCGACAGCTATTCGCAGGAGCCATTGCAGACGTCCAAAAGGCGATCGAGGCACATGAATCCCAGAAGGTCAGATTGGCTAACAAAAAGCGGCGGGTGGACGACGCTCCTGAAGGTGGCCCAGCGGCGGCAGCAGGCGGCGACGGCGCGGCCCCAGCCGCGGCATCGGCGGCCAGTTCGGGATCTCCAGCAGCGGAGCCAGGCCCTCCTCCCGAACAGCAGCAGCAGTTCCAGCATGTACGTGAACGGCTCCAGGCCTTTACCAAAGGCCAGGGCAAGAGTGCTGCGTCGGGGGAAGGGGGCGACAACAAGAAGGCCTCATATCCGGAATAGCAAGTCTGACATCTCAGTCCATTCATATCATGACTCTCCCACTTACATTGGTTTCGAATTCTACGCGATTGCACAACGAGGCAAGGAGGCTCCATACCCTCGGCCTGCAAAGGAGCAGAGCCGCAGGTGTCTCAGACTACGGCCCATGCGACTCTCACGACCTCTGACGTGCTCACTGGAAGGCAGACTCCTGAGGGCACTGAGCAGGGCTCAGCGGGAGGAGACATGCCGCCATTGGCAGACCAGCAGAGCCCAGAGGGAGGAGTCGGCACGGGAACGACTTCATCAATTTCGCGATTAAACCATGGCATGGGTGACCCTGACTTGGAATCCTTCAAACATTTGGCGGATGAGTGGACAGAGCCTGTCGATAGATTTACAATGGCTGGGGAATGTGAAGGATCCACAGCGCAGGAGGCACCAGCAGCTCGAAGTCAGGATGCGTGGGGGTCCGCCGTCCCGCAGTCAGGCGCCGGCGCAGAGTCAGGGCAGCTTCGTGCGGCCCAGGGACTAGCCAGCGGTCGGCTCCCTGGGTGCTCTGGTGATGCATGTAACCTGGCTGCTAATCAGGCGGTACCGTCGATCACGTGTGCTGGACGAGGTGCCTCCGCAGTGTCTCAGGCTCAACGCCAGCCATCGGACATACGTGCCATATTCCTGGATGCCAACATCACGGAACGGGGGCGACAAGCGTGCCAGCTGGCTGGGCACCATGCAGAGGCCGACCCAGAGATGGGGTTAGTGGAGACGCACCAGTCGGCAGCTACGAAGGCTCATTGGACGCACGAGCTCCTCAAGAAGGACGGGTTTCATGTTTCGATCAAGGAGGGATTCCCGTCAGGACGATCTGAGCAAGGTGTTTATGGAGCTGAATTTCTGCTTGCAAGGATTCAGTTTGATACAGCGCCGTTTGACATACTCATATCCCAGGCTGTCATGGAAGGCGCACTCACTGGACAGACGTTTCAACCCATGCGGTCGTTGGTGGCAGGCTCAGCGCATGGAGTTGGTGTTGGGGAGGTTTTGCTGCATCCAGTGCTGGAAGCCGCTCTGCGTGCCAAGATCATCGAGGAGATGACGGAGATGGCGGACTCGTGCAGACGCACTCTGGAAGAGAAGCGCTTGACAGTATTGGACAAAACAGTGAGCATAGCTTCCGACTCTGAGCTTTGCCCGGATGTTGTAGATCTTTTTCAAACCCAAGGGATCCCAGCGAAGCCTGCCAGAGCAGGCCTTTATTTGGGCCTCGGCGCCACTGCGGGGAGATTTGGATTTGGGCCCCAGAAGAAGGTCCAGCAGAGAAGGTTCGAGTCCAAGTACAGGGTTTCCCGAATTTTCAAAATGTGGA